CCTCCTCTTCCTCGTATTTAAGGTTAACTTAAACCCTAAACTGTAGGGTCTCGACACTTGGCCACTACGGTGCTCCCCTCTGGGAGCTAGAGTGTCGTGCTCTCAGGTTCTGAAACATGGACTGAGTAGTGTTGTGCCATCTTCTTGGTGTTGGGAAAAGAAAAAAATTTTCATGGAAAGGGGCCCAAAATCCAATAAACGGGAGACCCCATATCCCATCTCTCAGCATACAAACTCATGGTTAAGCTTGATCGACGAAATAGAGGGCTCTGAATGAATAATTGATCAACACAATCAGGCTCCACATAATAACAAAAATTTTGGAAATCGAAGAAAAAGTCTAAATTTAAAAAAAAACTAAACTAAACTTGCATGATGTATCTGCGGCCATAAAACAATAATTAAGGCCTTATTTTATGTTAAAATAAATCAAATTAAATCAAATCAATCCAAAATTAATCAAACCAGTTTGAAAAGAATAATTTAATGCAAACCAAATCAAATCAAACCAATCCAATTTTAGTTTACTTGTTTCCAACACAACCACAAAAATGAAGTGAACAGAACCAAATGATTTTGCTCAGATTCAGTTTTTCTTTATTCATTCTATTAAACTGATTGTCATATGGAAAGCAAAAAATAAGAATGCAACCGTAGTATCATGATCAAAAATTAAAAATGGAAAGATGAACTTGAAGAAAAACAACCCAAAAAAGGCCACCCACTAAAGCATATAAGCTAAATAATGAAATAATAACAGAAAACACGGCAAACAATTTGCATGCCGACAAGTTCTTAAGAGTGACACAGCTAGACACGATGGTAGAAAACATACCACTAGCAACTCCACCACTCGCGCCATCTCGGAAAGTTGCATGATAAATAGCCCGCCTAGCAAGCTCTGATGCTTCTTTAATTGACATTTCATAGTGATATCTGCATTTAAAAAAATAAAAAAATAAAAAAAGCAGTAGTCAAGGATTCATTATAGTTATAGTTACTAATGGGATCCTTTCAATGCTTACCCACTGTCAAGAACACCATAAGCATAAGGTGATCCAGAGCCAACAGAGAATCGCTTTCCCTTGAGCCTGCCTCCTTCGCTGTCCACATAATACAAGCCTGGCCCCTAGAATCCATGCACGGACTTGTCAGCTGATTAATTGATTAGCCATGTAGAAGGCATAAATTTGAACTACTCTATGTTACCGTTTCATCCCACCCAGCAATCATGGTACCAATAGAAAGGCCCATTCCTCGGTACGAGTAAAGAATATTTGCCAGTAGCTTGGAAGCGCCTGTAACAGAAATCCTTCGCTTGTTTGCCAGTTCATGCAGACGGCACTATATGAATAAAATGAAAGCAACTTTCAGGAAAACAAACAAATTTCAAACTAAAGGCCTTGACGCACATAGATTTTCACAAACAAGGAAATCATAATGAAGTATCGTTAGTAAACAAAAACGCACAATATAACTCACCTTGATACCTAAGTTCCTATGCCAGAATTGGCAATCTGCAGCCCCCCCTGCCATTGTGCCAATCATGTATGGATTTATCTCGATAATTTTCTTCACGGTTTGCGAAGCTGCAGACAGGCGAAAGAAACCATAAGGGAGGTCAGTCCAGAAAATAATGTAATACTAATGGATCAAGGCTCCCTTCAAAGTTTGTTTAAATATGTATAAAAACTGAAGTTGAGTTTATTCATTTAATCGCATACACTTATTAAGCTTTATAGTATAATATTACTTCTACTAGTTAAAAATTCTCTTTCCTTTGGTCTAGAAATAGACCTTGAAACATTAAATCATACATAACTCTCGTATCATGCATATCTCTTACTTATATCATGTATATTATTTTTCATGTGCTTATAATGTATATCTATTTTATCATATCTATCTTGCAAACCATGTATAACATAAATATCTCATACATATCATTTATGCATGTCTATCCTGACTAACAATATGAACGATCTAACTAAAATAGAATATCTGCGGAGTTAAACATACATTTTGAAATAAAGAAGATTAATGAATTTAAAATTTAATTACTCACCTCGATTGTCGCGCTATGATGTGATAACCTTTATGTTAATTTTAATAACATATAAAACATAATATTAAACTTTAAGATTTAAACAATTTCCCATCAAACAAATTATTCTTCTTAAATTAGCATAGAATTAATTTACCTCAATTTACGGGATGATTTTATAGTGAATTTTTACCATTGCCTAGAGTCAGCCACATCGAACAAATAACCTGGAATCTGCAATTAACTTTGAATTTAAAGAGATCTTTGCTCATTAAGTAATTTAACCCAAAAAAAGTAACATTCGTACCACAAATAGGCTTCTCGACACAAATTTGCCTTTCCGAAATTGCCAAATATCTTCCCCCATCCTAACACTTCAAACATCCTCTCCCTTTTGCTATATTCAAGCTAAAAATCCTTTAGAAACTCACAAGCCACTTACGACACTTTCATCACAAGGTCGGCGCCTCCGACAACTATCGGAAATGAACAGTGCATGAAAAATAAGGCAAATCTCAAAATGAATGAAAGAGGAAGGAAATAAAAGTCTCAAATAGCATGAAATAGGATTTCGTACTCACCGATTTCAACTCAAATCCCTCAAAATGCCATATGGGGCTCTATGCAGTCTGCTCGCCTCCTCTGCTTGACTCGGCTACAATGCGAGATTGCATTGTGTCGTGACTGAGCGTTGCAATAGTGAGGGAGAGGAAGATCGGGAGAAATCAGAAACTGGAGGGGCTTCACGCAACGCAACCAAGAGCTAGGGAGAGGAATCAAAGTCTTTAAGGAGGACCCCCCATTCGATGCCCAAACATAGGTAAATAGCGTGGTAAGTTGGTAGAAATAGTAACCATGCGGGATTGAGGATTTGATTATGTTTAATTAGGTTATTTAAACTTATTAATTTCAAACTTTTTTATCTCTCATTCCATTCAAAATTTATATATACTATTTTATATTAAATTGATTGATTTGATGTGTAGAATTTTATAAAATGAACTCGGATAGAATCTGTACATTTCAAGTCACCAAAAATTTTATGTGATTTCTCAAAATGGGTTATTACAAATACTGGCTAGATGAGCATTGGAGAATATTCAAAAAACAGAACTACTCATTTCAGTACATAGTCCTCTTCGTTAGCACCTCCATCTAAATGTGTGTAGATGAAAATAAAATATTGTCATCACTAATTACCTTCACATTGAAGAAGTAACAGAATATTGCAAGGTTCCAATCCAACTTCACCTAATGCAAATGCAAGATGAAGGTGATGGTAATTGCCATAAACCTTAGCAGAATTTGGGTACACATAATAACATAGCATTTGATTATGTCGACAGGCTCATGGCACATTAAGAAACAGACGCGGAGCTTGAAATGATCCTCAAGGACACAACCTTCATCATCAAACAATGGGTTCAGAATTTCATCCTCTGTGAAAGCTCAAGCCAAATGTCATTATAGACATAGATGCCATTAAACTACTTCACCCTCCAAGATGACACTTGGGATGGCTTAATGAAGTTGAATCCATTAAACCACCATCCACGGATCCACTCCCCAAAATGCGTCAACTTGACTATTAGGATGAGTACAATAAAAAAAGCTAACAATCTAGAGAGAGAAGCTTTGGGATTTCTAAAGAGAGTCAAGTGAGAAAAATAATAGTGGTCGGAGGCTTAAGGTATTTAGACCTACAAACTTTACACTTGACATGGTGTCTAATCTAGAAGAATAATTTTAGGATTGCAGATATGAACCGACAACACCAAATGCTAGAAGAACTTCATTACAAAGCACTAGACAAACAACAATGACAACTCGATTTGTAAGGCCAAACATGAATCAATACCTGCAAAAAATGGCCCTTCATGTAAAAAGTACATAGTAGTCCCATGTAGGGGGGAGGGGGGGGGGGGGGGGGGACTCGATTACAAAATACCAACTAATATTGTTTTAGTGACTATGCGATCACATGCAAGTTATCACCAATAAACCGAAACAATTTAAGACAACTATACCATTTAGAGAATTTTTTCCTTTTTTTATTAAATACAAACAAGTACCATTCAAAAATAAAAATCAAATATATATCAGATGTAACAAGGAACTAATTAGATTTCAATGACTAAAAAGCATGTTGAATGAGAATAATCTCAATCTTCAAAATTTAATGTTCCTTGCCCAAGTAGATCTACCTCACCCGATATGTCTGAATGTCCCTTAAGGCGACTAGCCTCTCTCGAGTCAATTACATCCTCAATACCTACTCTAGCAACACACTCTTAACCAATTACAGTTGCTTTTGCTAGGTAGATAGTGCCACTTGCGCCGACATTTCATCCACCCATTTGACCAAGACAACCATACCAACGGACTCTTTGTAGAACAACTCACCAATTGCAAGAAGGGGCAAAAGACCCTAGAGTTTCATCATAATGTGCTCCAGGCAAAGAGACAGCTCAATAGACATCTCAATTCTCCAAAAAGGTCTCGACGAGCACACATCCTCAACTCCAGCCGCGGTCAATCCTTCATGGGAGCAACTCAAACAACTCACACAACCAACTCAACAAGATGCTCACCCAAGTAGTAATAGAAAATGGTCCAACTCCTCCTGACCATGTTCATCATCTGAATATTCGGTCATAGAGAAATATTCTATACACTACTTAATAAAAGCAAAATAAAAAAAGTGGAATAATAAACTTTAAAACATTTGCAAGTAAATATTTGCTCATAGGGATGGCCTCGTCCGTCACGACCATCTTCTAATGAAGAAATATAGCATTAAAATATTTTCCCATAAAAAAAGAGCAAAATCCTAATTTCAAATTTCACTAAGCTTACCAACTTGTTCCACCACCACTTCATTCTTAGAGAGAGAGAGAGGTCTCACATGTAGACTCGCCTGAAGCCATAAAAATTGGATTGTCCTCATCCAAAGAGCTTACTTCCTCTTTCTCTTAATATTACTCAACTTCCTTGCTTTTAGCATCTCCAACATTGTCGCTTAATTGGTAGCATCTACAACCCAAATTCTCATTTAATCAAAAGTATAAAGATCGAACAATGATGGAGAAAAAGGATAAATACAACAAGAAACACTCTATAAGCATAGAGTAAGGTAATCTATAGAAGAGTAATTCATGTTGGCTTGGGCAGAACAATAACAGATCAAATCAATGAACAATATTTAACATTTACCTTTTTCTTTTAAATACGATCACCTATTTTTCTTGAATATTTTTTAAAAGACAATTATTAAGTTCTCAAGTTTATCACAGTAATATAGTAAGGCTAACATAGACAATCAAAATTACTCTAAAAATACTAGCAAAATATGCCTTATATTCATTCAATAAGCAACATTTCTCACTCTTGTTATCTTGTAGTTACCTTCAAAAATTACAAGAGAACCAAGTATGTATATCTCAAAGGGTGAACTCACCCAAGAAGGAGAATAAAGAGACGAGCTCAATACAAATTTGCCAACTGAACTCGGAGACAAACTCACCAAATGGGATCCAAAACAACCATCCAATCAAATTTGTGGCATTAAACTTAACAAGCAGAAAGGCAAACTCATATGCCTATTGATGAGAAGAATCGATCAAGGCACAAGAGCGACCACATTTTTACTGTACCAAATCCAATGAATCAACCAAATCAGATAAGCCAAATGACTAGAACTACCACTCGTCTCAAGTTACTAGGAGATCCATCGACTCCTCCACAGGTCAACTGCATAAGGATCATAGGCCTTTTATATTACTTTATATTTTTCACATGTATTGCCCATTATGTAGCCTTTTCTATTTCGCTCAAGTTCCTAGATCTCAAATATATAAATAGAGGATCCTAAGGAGAGCCCAAGTTTTGATTCTTCTAGCCCACTACTCAACAATATTATTTTCTTGACCCTTCTCTAGTTGATTCATTCTCTTCTTACGTCTCTATTTCTTACCCTTCACTATTTCTTTGGGCCCATAAGACTTAAGTGTGACCCATATACAAATCAAAATAAAAAAACAATGATAATGGAAATGATGATGCTACAGAATCACTAGAACATTGTGTAATAACTCATGTATAAAATAGAAATAACGGGGTTAATGAACTCTAACATAGCTTCCAAACCTAGCTAAAGGCTATGACATGACTAAAACAAAAATGAAGTCAATATTGCTTCTTCAATCCTACACCTGATTTAAGAATGAGTAGTTATAAACTTCACGATATGTCTAAGGGCCATGAAGCTCCAATAATGCAAGATATATGAAAGGGTTTATGTATTCAAGTTGCCTCATCATTGCAAAGAGGCTATTTTAGTCGACGACCTTCAATCAAAATGAATTGAACCAAAAATGTGAATTTTGGTTCACAAAACTAAAATCTGAAAAAGAGAATAAAATGCATACTAAGTGTGTCCTTATGTTTTTACCTTATGATTAGTTTTTTTAAGTTCACTATTTGTGCAAACTAGACAAGAATTAGTATAAAATGTTGTATACAACATGTCATTCTTCATACAAGTTT